GCACAACGCGTTTTGTCCGTGACCTGGTATATGTTGAATAAAATGCTTAATCCTACTGAATGTTTTCACGTATATGTTGGATTTGTATCGATCTGTTCAATGGGCATCATTTGACGATTTTGTGGCATGGCAGATATCATGTTGGGTAGTGTCACTACTTACATCGTGTAGTGTCCAATTGGCCTCAAGCAATATACTTGCAAACATTCAGTAGAATTAGGCATTTTATTCAACATGTACTAGGTCACGGACAAAACGCGTTGTAACCCATTGAGTAAGAGAAAAGGTAAAGATCGTTCGAAAAAGGTTCGTACAGCCTTGTTGCCATAAAGTTAGTTGTTTCTTGTATATTTTTTCTTTAATTGGTTTGGTGATTAGTTTTTTCTATATATATTCTTCTTGTATATACTGTCCACTAATTAATTTGCTATTAAATTGCTATATATTCTTCTTGTATATATTTTGTTTAATTTAAATTTTCGTTAATTAATTTGATGATCAAAAGTCACTTTTTTGGTGATTAAAATACATTTTTCCCTATAGATAATGTCTATGTAGATATAGATGGCAGAGGCGTATTTTACCAGTGATTTTTTTCCATTAAGCACTGAGACATATTCACAAGCTGAAGAGGGACCGATCTCTGACCGTATAGAAATAATGTATATGATGGTGCATATGGGTCCGTATATGGTGGTTAGACGTAGCTCCCTCTTCATGTTGTGAATGTAGCTAATTACAAAATAACTTCCTGTTTTTCTAATTTCTTATGACTTTTTTATTCCAAAACTCTTTCTATCGGCGGAGGTTAAAAAAAGTTTGTAGTTTTACTATGGGCGGCGGCGCGGAGTGGAGCTCTGCAGGTTACGATTTTTTGACAACCTGTAACCTAACCTATAAAAAATTTCATAAGCTAATCTAACCTATAGATTAGGTTTAGATTTAACCTGCAGAGCTCTAGCGCGGAGTTCCCAAAAAGTTCAATGGTGGCGGCGCACAGGTCTACTTATGAGACTTTTTTTCTCTTACTAACACTCATGTAACATGAAAGAAACAAAAAGTACAATTCATAAATGCGTTAAGCATCTTTAATAAATTTTCAACTCTATTGAACAAAGATATCAAAGGATCCAAATGATGAAATATACGTTTTTGAAAATCCGAGGAACGCGTATACGTGTGTAGTGGACATTTTTGGCTTATCATGCAACTATGAAAATTGTTTGCACCAAATCGATGTTTAGGTTTTAGTATTTATCAATATCACATGTATGCTGTTTTTCGAAAAAATCTCTTCATCTTAAAACTGTTTTAGTATGTCGAGTATAGTTGGATGCGGTTTGACGAGATCATTCCAATACCATTTTTATTTAGAAAACGTTTTTTTAGTAGACGATTTTACTTGAAGATCTTGTAATGAGTAGGAAGGTTTTCGCTAATTTAGTAAATGTATTATAAATAAAAGAGTATTTATGTAATCTTTGAGCCAGATTGAAGTTTAGAAAAATTTAAGAAGCTGATTTCATCGAAGATTTGTTTTCAGTAAAATTTGTTAGAATAAAAACCAATCATTTTCTCTGCGACATAGAGTTCAAACTTGAATATTTTTTTGCTATTTTAAAGCTGGATAGGTTGTTGGTTAATCCTATGATTGTTCTTAATGAGAACTTTCTTTTGATAGCTTTTGATTTGTTGTACACATCGTCATTAAAAACTGCTAAAAAAATTAATATTAGCTTACGAGTTGATTTTCTGAATGTTTTCTGAAAAACCAACGTAGTTCAAAAACGTCCTTTGCCCATTTTTAAACGGTAAAATTGTTTCCTACGTCAAATTGTGTGTTATCTGTAATATCCATAAACACAGCATGTGACTTAGATCTTCATCATAAATGCACCTTCTATTTTTCATTCCATGCAATCACATCTTTAAAGCCGCATTTGTTTTATTTAATGTTGAATAGTGAATATTTCTTTTTCATGCAACAAAATAAATAAAAGTCAGTAGGTAAGACAATATCGATATATATGTAAGACAAAATTCCTAGACGAAATAAAGATCCTTTTATCTCTGCTAGTATCAGCAGAATGCTCATTAAACTGATCAATAAGTAACTTCAAATTATTTACCAGCTGCGCTGAAACAGACATGAAAAATTGTTGTCAGTGCCGGTAGCATGAGAAAACTTGATGATTTTCAGTTACATATGGAATTTGACTTAATAGTTCCTTTGTCAAGGCGTAACACTGTTTCATTTGACATTCATTGATGCTGTTCGAAACGTTTAGTGCGTCTCTTGGGCGCGTGAAAATAGACATTCACTAGGATAATTTGAAAAACGAATGTTTCAAATAGTTTATTAATTTTCCTTGTTCCATTCTAATGGCAAAGCCCTCTCGTTTTATATCACATTCGGATGTATCGAGATTAACAATAAAAGAGCCACGAGAAAGAGACGATGATTCTAAAAGTTTTTCTCCATCGACCATCAGTCGTACATCATCAGTTTTAATGTCAACATCGAGCAGTATCAATGACAGAAATCCAGAAATTATCGATCAAATAAGAGATGCATTTACAATATTTGATAAAGAGTTTACTGGATCGATAACAACAGAACAATTTAGGTATAACTAATAGTCAATTTAGTGGCAATAATGAGAGACCATTTCTGGTTAAAATAATGAACTTGTATATAATCGGTACTTTATTCCTATTATGAGAGCCAACTTTCCCTTCGTTTTCCAATTATATAAAGAACGACTTATCACAGAGCCATAATTTTTCCAGCACAAATAGATTCGACGAGTAAATGGAATATTTTTCCAAGTTCTATAGTTCTTATAGTCTAGAGATCGCTATATGCAGTAAATGAAAGATATCGTATATTGAGAACCTTCATAAAAATCATTATAATTTCTTAACAGAACATTCCCAAAAGGTGGAAGACATTTCCTTTCAAGAAAATACTTTAAATTATCCGATTTCTGTTCGCATTTCTGAGAGATTTCTTTTAAAATTAAGAAAAAATTTTCATAATACAAAAATTTAAAAGAATTTTAATTCACGATAGAAGTTTTTTCTTGAGAGTTGCGGTGACTTTAATTTTGTGCATAAAATTTGACTGTGTATGAAGACATATCACACTCAGTCTTAGAAAAGAGTCTGTCTGAGCCCAGAAAGGGGGAAGATGTCCTTATATTATCTGCAGATTATAAAAGAAATTATAATGTATATTTGTGTTTTAGTAAAGTCCTCGAAGGTTTGGGATATACTGTTCCTGAGGCTGAATTAGTGCTATGGATTCAACAATTGGATACCGATCAGTCTGGTAAGTATCAACAGGATATTCCATTACATACAGTAGTCAGCGCAGGGTTACCTCACCTCTTAGGTACAATTGAATTTGAAGAATATTTGAATTTTATGTTGTCGTTTATGAAAAAGAATGTGACAAACGAAGAATCCTTGAGAGATGCATTTATGCTGTTTGATAATGACAGCGACGGATACATAGGTTGGCTTTTATTGAAGAAATTGGATATTCATATATGTTTTTCCGTGTGTCTGTTTCTCCAATAGGTGTAGCGGATTTGAGATCTATAATAACGAACTTGGGAGAAAAGGTGACCGCTGAAGATCTCGATGAAATGATACGTGAGGCTGATATTGGTGTGTGTCGAATGAACGAATACACTCCTTCAATATTTCTTTTTTTATCTTTAGATAAAGATTACAAAGTCAGTTTTGATGAATTCCAACGAATAATGAGTTTTAAATGAAGTATCTTATTTTCTATCTGCATTATTTTTTTTGAATAATACTTTAATGATGTTTTCATGCGTTACGAAATTGATTGACACTTCCAGCGTTATCGATTAGAGGATGGTAGAGGGGGGCATACCACCCCCTCGTTTGCATACAGTTACTCAAAAAATTTTGACTGACTCAAGTTTTTTAAGAAATTTAAGTAGAGAAACTGCGTTTTTCGCACCTGAGTAAGCGACTTTCTCCAGCTTCTGAGTAACTCAGTTCAGTTACTCAGAAAAAAATTTTAGTCAAAAAATGCGTTACTCAACGAAAAACTTTAGTTACTCAGCAGGCTCGTCACCCCTCATCAAAACTACTATCGAAAACACTGGACACTTCTTTACTGAACGTAAACATGAATTTGCAAGTTGATCTGCATCGTTTTCAGTTCACTTTCCATAAAATACGAATAATCAAAAGCTCTATAGTTCTGTAAGGTTACCCTAGCGCACGTACTTGTGCTCAAGTACTTGGCACAGTGTGCATCCAGGTGGACATTAGGTAAAAAAACGAAAATCGACTTTTCAATGATTCAAATAGCGATAAATATACTTCGAAACATGCTCTATCTGATGGCATAAAATGTTTTGTTATAAAGCTTATGTGGAAAATTATTAGCGTGGAAAATCAGCCAATCAAAAATTAGCCTGAAATAGTAGTATCGGTGCGAAAAATGAAATTTTCACAGCAGTGAATGAAGTTGTAATCAAAAATGACATATATTCTAAATTTCCATGGCATCAGCTATAGATTAACGGGTGGCGCATAATAAACGGGACACTTTTGTTCTTTATTTTTAAGGCATTTCCGAATGATCTGAAAATCTGGTTCTAGTCTCATTCGATAGAGAATTGAATTCTCTACAGAACCTGCTTTTTGAATCTCTGATAGCATTTTTCTTGTTTGAGCACCACACAAAATATTGAATAGTGCTAAATTCTCGAACTGCAACATACCGAAAACAGAACAATATTTGTCTTGATCCCAGAACAGATTTCATAAGAATTTTGAAAACATCAGAAGATTCACCGGAAAATGCTGCATCTTCTTACACATTCTTCGAAATTCTGCAGTTAAGTTTTCTACGAAAATTTCTCTTTGCAAAAAGGTGATAAATCTAAAAAAATCTAACTTTTGAATCTATTTTTCACAGATTTTTATTTTTTGCTTATAAAAGCAGTAAAACGTTA